AGTAGCTGGGACCCTGGAGTTCATGCTGATGCTGGGAGTCTGCCAGTGCTCAGTCAACCTGCCCACTGACTTCTGACGTGAGGGGTGTCCAAGGCTGTAGCTCTCACCAATGTGATGACCACCAGCACAGCCAAATCCTTAGCAGGAGACCCCTGCCTTTCTGGGCTCTAGGAAGGCAAGAATAAAAGCAGGAGTTACAGCAGGGGTATGGCCAGAGATAAATCCCTCTAGAATCTAGAGGTGCTGAGGAAGTAAAGGTTTCAAGATGGAGTAAGTCAAGTTCAGGGAGTATTAGAACACAGGCTTTGCCTATGGTTCCTATATGGATGCAGGGACATGAAAATATGATTATATTGATCATACATGGAAGATAGGAGAAGATGCAGAGGCCTGAAAGGAAAAGTCCACTTTTGCACAAAATCTCTGCACTCTCAATTTCTCCTCTTCCTACCTCCTCACACCCCATACACCTCTCATCCTGCTTGGGAGAAAACCTGCAGCCTTTTCCTTGCTTAAAGGGAAATGCTTGCCTAAGATTCAGAAAGACCTGATTTTGAATCCTGGGCTCACAGGATAATCCCAGGCAAGTCCCCACTTTTCTCTATGTCTAGTTCCCCCCCTCCCCGCCCCGAAGTGGAAATGGTAAGAGCAATCCCAATCTGTGGTAGGGCTAGTTAGAATGAACAAGTCCCTCAGGGGGGACGTTCCCAGTAGGGAGAGAATTTAGCTGAGCACAAGGCCTGTCCACATGAGGTACTTGTTTCAAATCTCCCTCACTACCACCCACAAGCCAGGAGGAAGAGGGCACAGGAGTCCCTGGACCTATGTGACCCAGGTTGTGGTTGGGGCTGAGGTGGGGCTGGTGCTGAGACACCAAGAGGCAGGAAGGACAGACTGAGCTAGGTCCTCTGGCAGGGGGGCAGTTGGCAGGGGTGGTCACTGGACCAACTCCTGTCATTCCTAGAAGTAAGGCAAGGAGTTACATCTGCAAAGGCAGAAAGGGAATACCCACTTTGAACCGCCTTCTCCTGTTTCTCTCCTATTTTGGAACCAGAGAGTGGGAGATCACTGAGCCCCGTGGGTCTTAGGTAAAGCAGGATGGGAAGGAGTCCTAGCAGTGGCGCAGAGGGGCAGACCTAGAAAAAGAAAGGGTCCTTAGCTTATGGCTACATACATGTTTCTCTGTGTGGCTCATAGGCGTGCATGGGATACCTCCTCTTGCAGGTGCAAGATTATATGTGAAAATGAGCACATACCCATCATGGTCCCCTAGGGAGGAGCAAAACTGGCAGAAGGTCATGCATGGAGCAGACTTATTCCTTTCTGACCTCTCCAGCTTGGCTCAAGAAGAAGTCTCAGGTTCACTTCTGAGCTCTGCCACTGATCTCAGCCATGACCTTGGATCAGACCCTTAACTTGCTTTGAGTCTCGGTTTATTATGAGCCAAAGGGAGAGAAGGCATCCTGCTGGGTATTTTCTTGGCCTGCCTCGGGATCCAAAGGGGAAGGACGAATACTGGGGTGAAAGTGGTGGGCACCGCGACCTCCAAGAAGCTGCATGCCATTCTCCATCAGGTCTCTCAGTCCTCCCTGCCTCAGTCCCCACGCCCGCCTCCACGACACTTATTCCTCCATTCTTGCTCAGAAGCAGCCGAGCTAAGGCACTTACTTAATCCTCTCCGGGACGAGGAGCTCAGTCTGAGAAGCTAAGGGTGGTAGCGACCGGCAGGCGGGCGGGAGGCGTGGGCGGGAGGGGGGAACACCCAGGCCCGGGCTTTGGAGGCGACAGGTCCGACCCAAGGTCCGCCTTCCCTGAACGCAGGGATCAGCTAGTATTAGCCTGCGCCAGCTGACAGCCGGAGCTGGGGTGGGCTGGGTCCGCACCATGGAGGGGGTGGGGTTAGGATGAGCAGCCCCGGGGGATCCCCAGGAGCCGGAGCGCCTTGCCTCCCGCCCCCTCCGCACCTCCTGGCTCTGATTGGTTGACAGGCCTAAAACCCGACCAACATTGGCTCACTCTCTTGTCGTTTGGATATAGTTCCGCCCCCAGCGGGAGCTGGGAGCTGAAATCCAACAGCCTAGAAGAGATTCTCGGAGACTACCTCTGACCCTGGTGACCTGCCGGAAATTGGGCAGTGGACCGTAGGTGGCCAGATCCTTTCTGGGCCAGAATTCGGGCTCCTGACCAGCTCCACCCGCACTGGGATAGTCTAGTAAGCAAAAAATGCTTAGGTACAGAGGTTTGATGAGAAAAGTAGACTCGATCTTTAAAGCCTAAATTGAACTCTGGCTCGATCCTCTACTGAGTTTATGTCCTTGAACAGCAAACTGCGTCTCTTCCTTTTGCCTCCACTTCCTGCTTAGATAGGAACACTGATGAAAGGACTTTTTGGTAATTTTTTGGTAAATGACTCCAACTATGGGGCTATAAATGAAAAGTCTTCAGTCCAGAGATGTTGGGAGCAGAATGGAATTATAATGGAATGACATTATAGTATAATTGTGTACCTTGACCCAAGCAAGCCTATACCCCTCATAACAGCTTCCATCCACAGTAAAATTCATCTCAGAACTGAGGCACTAATTCCCTCTACTCCAGAGTTAGATTTCCCCAGCCCTTTAACCGCCCCCTCCCAACTCTGGCCCTCTAGACAAAGTATCATACTGTTGTGTTGTCCAGGATGACCTGATACTCACTATGTAACCAAGGCTGGTCTTGAAACAAGCCAACCCTCCACTCCCTGGGTGCTGGGATTTTGAATTTTAATTGATTTTTATGTGTAAGAATGTTTTGTCAGCATGTATATCTGTGCACCATGTGCGCGTGAGCTCACATGTGTGCGTGTGCGTGCGTGCGTGTGTGTGTGTGTGTGTATGTGTGTGGTGCCTGAGGAAGCCAGCATTGAATCTTTGGTACTGGAGTTACAGACTGCTGTTAGCCTCTGTGTGGGTGCTGAGAATTGAACCTAGGTCTTCTAGAAAAACAGCCAGTGCTCTTAACCACGGAGCCATCTCCCCAGAACCCCTTGTACTGGGATTTATAGGTGTGCACCAGTACACCCTGTACCCAACCCCGTAGCAGAGTTTCTAGGACCACCAACTCCCCGATCATGTCTTGGAGACTTATTATTTGTTATGAATCTTGGCTTTAGTTTAGGCTTGTCCCACTAGCTCTTATAACTTATGTCTCTTCATCTACATTTTGCCTAAGCCTTTTTTATAACCTGTGTCTCTGCATCTACATTTTGCCTAAGCCTTTTTTTTTAACCTTTCTTTCCTTCTGTATGCCTACTCTGTATCTGTGTCAGGCAGGTAGCTGCCTGGCTGGCTGGCCCTGGACACCTCCCTCTCTTTCTCCCTTGAGCCTAGATTCCTCCTCCTACTTATTCTCTCTGCTCATCAGCCCCGCCTATTCCTCTACTGCTTAGCTATTGGCTGTTCAGATTTCTATTAGCTCAGTCAGGTGCCTTAGGCAGGCAAGGGAAGACAGCAAAACATCCTTATATAGTTAAACAAATGCAGCATAAACAAAAGCAAAACATCTTTACATCATTAAACAAATTTGGGGCTGGAGAGATGACTCAGTGGTTAAGAGCGCTGCTTGCTCTTCCAAAGGTCCTGAGTTCAGTTTTCATCAACCATGTACATGGTGGTTCACAACCATCTGTAATGAGATCTGGTGCCCTCTTCTGGCCTGCAGGCATACATGCAGAATACTAAGACTATTGTATACATAATAAATAAATACATTTTTTAAAAAACAAATTCAACACATCTTTACATAGCTAAACAATTATTCTGCAGCACAAACAAATGTAACACATCTTAGTTAAACAAATATTCTATTCCACAACACAGCCCCCTCCCTCTTTCCCCCCAATTTTTTGTTTTTTACTTTTTTGAAACAGGGTTTTCTGTAGCCCAGTCTAGCCTTGAAAGATGAGCTTCTGGTCTCTGTGCCTCCACCTTTTGAGAGCTGGGGTTTATAAGTGCATATCACCATATCCCATTGATGGGCACCAAACCCAGAATTTTGTGCATGTTAGGTGAGCACGCCAACAACTGAGCTACCCCCAATGAAATATTTTTTATTTTCAAAATTTTAAAATTTTATTTCTTAAAATTATGTGTATGTGGGTGGGGGTAGGTATGTACAGGTGAGCACAGGTGCTGCCTGAGGTACTTGGAACTGAAGGCCTCTGCAAGAGCAATATGTGCTTCTAACCGCTGAGCTATCCCTTCAAGGTTTTCTCCCAACTTTTAAATTTTGAGACAGGTTTTTACTAAATTACGCAGGCTGGCAGGCTGTCCCTGAGCGTATGGTCTTCCTGCTTCAGCCTCTCCAGGAGCTGCGGCTACATGCCGGTGCAGGTCCTGCAACCGCTATGAATTTTATAAAAGGTGCAACTAAAGCCTAGAAAGGTTTGGGCACTTAAACAAAGTTAATCAACGAGTTGCCAACAAAATTAGGATTCAAATCCAGTTTCCCAGTATTTGCTTTTCTGCTATCTGGTCCATATTTTATGTGCATGTGAGGTCAAGCGGGTCTTTATATGTCTAGTCCCTTCCCGAAAACAGAGACTGCCCTCAAACACGAGAACCCAACCACACGCTGCTAGACTTAGCTTACGAGATGTTAGAACAGCACCCTCCCTCCCCATCTAGCCTGGTTTTCAAACCCAGCGCACATGGGTGACATCCTCGCTGTTTGTTTCTGCCCATACACCGCCCCTACTGGAAAGGAAAAACCGTGTGCTTGAAGCAGTCACTGCAGGCTGGAGCCACAGCTCTGCTGCGACCTTAAGGAAGACTAGTGGGTCTGGGACCCTACAAAGCAACTCACACACCTCTGCACTTTCCCCTTAGTGGGGCTGCGGGTGGGTGCCAGTCAGCTCAGCCCACCCGTCCTCTCGTAGTCTTTAAAGGCGGAATTTACCGCTGTAGGAACCCTAGACTAGGGGGACGTGGTGCACCCGAGCACTTTCTCAACAGCACTGAGGCGGAAGCAAGGTGCCGAGGGAGTGCACTGCAGAATACGCATATCCGGGGCTGATCCTGGGGCCGGCTCCTGGTGCTGGTGTGTAAGTAGGGCAAGCGTTCATTCCCTCAACCGGGTACGCACCAGCGGTAGAGATCGGGATGGGAGTGCATGGCCGCAGTGTTGCCTTTTGAGACCAAGCCGGTCCTATCCCTCACAGTCCTGGCAAATAGACTCGGAGAGAAGGCACGCTTAACAGAGTCGTTGATAATGTCCTTGCGTATTTGGGATGGAAGTTGTGTTGTTGAGACTTGGAGCTTTGCTTCCTTCCGGACCTGGGAACAAGTTGCTTCTTTCTTCTGAAGCCCAGTCTTTGAGGCTGTGGTTGTTAGCAAGTGCTCAGCAGATGTTAGTTTTGGAACTTAGTTTGCTTGGAAGCAGAGGGGACCACCGATTTTAATTTTTCAGATAACTTATTTATGTTAACTTAAGTGTAACGATTTTTCAACCTTCAATTCATGCAAATGTCTAGGATTATGGGTTAAGTTGGAGGGAAAAATTCAGCTTCCAAGCAATGATGGTGCATACAGAATGTGAAGCAAAGCTCCGAAGCATGACAGTCTCCTGCCCTCTATTAATGAGTTCCTGGTGTGTGGTGTACTGTTGTACAGGCCCTTGACATCCATTGGTTAAGGCAGCAGTCGCCTTAGAACTGGAGTTATTTTCCCCACATATGGATGCTCAAACTGGAAGTCAGAAACAATGATTTGCCTGAGTTCACATACACTGGGGTCTGACATTAGCCCTACTCCCAAGCCCACACCCTGACTATTAACAGGAACCAAGCTCTGCCAGTTCAACCTAAATCAAAAAAAAAAAAAAAACCTGGCCAAGACAAGAAATCAAATAGGTGGTTGAGGGTGTGAATATAGTCCAGGAGGTGACAGACTAAAATACGCACTCTTTTCAGGCAGCTTTTGAATCTTTCCTCATTCTCCTTTAGGGTGACAACAGCATCTGAGAAATAAAACACCGGAGAACCAGAGTTTATGACTGATCCTTCTGCACCCAGTCCAGCCTAGGGATCACCCTGGCACCTCCCTCGGTGACTGGTATCACAAGGGAGACTTAGGAACCTGCAAACCTTTCTCTAAGACATGAAGCTTTGGGGGCGAATACTTTGGACCCTCCTATCTGGTTCCAGGGGAAGGAGGGGAGTCCCCCAAGGCTGGGCCCTCAACTCATGGAAGCCTCTTTCATCTCTAACTGGACTGTTGAGTGCCAGAGAGGTGGTCAGCCACTGGACACAGGTCTTTGAGCAAAGAGGTATCCCAGAGGCTCAGGAGTCCAGTGAGTACATCGTGGCCCATGTTCTTGGAGCCAAAACAGTTAAGTGCTGTGTTGGGGATAAAAAGAGAGAGGAGGGAGAACTCTAGGGAACAGATATTGGCGGGGGGGGGGGGGCGTTGCTATTTTATATTGTTTTCCTCAGTCAGAGTGCTTAGCAGAGACTTGGTGGAATTTTGCTGAACAGATGTTTCAGGCAGATATTCGTTCATCCAACAAATGGTTACAGTGCATTCCAGGCTCTGTAGGCCCAGGGAGGACTAAGTGGCTAGTGTTGAGTCCAGAGTGTTGAGTCCATTGTCCACACAAGAAACCAAGGGAGCCAGCCACTCACGTTCTCCATGGGGACAGTTTCAGAGCCTGAGACCAGTACTTTGGACCAAGCCACTGACCCCTAAACAACTGCAGTACATCCAGGAACTGTGTAGTCATCGATTACAGAGGTAAGCAGCCATGGACAGATCTGAGAACTCTTGAGTTAGGAACAGAGAATCATCCTCCCCTACTCCTGCCAAGTTATGGTCATGGAGGCGTAAAGAGATCTGTTGGGGTGAGGAAGTGGCAAGAGAGGGACTGGTATAGTAAGTTTAAAGAAGGGAAAAAGGGTAGGCCTAGACTGTGTCTTAGGGCATTGCAGACAGGGAACCTGCCTGATAGTGTTGGCCACAGTCATCTTCACCTCAGCTCTGGCCTTTGTTAGTCCAGGTTCTGGTTCTGATGACCTCCCTGAATGCTCCTTTTGCAGGATGCCGGTGCAATATATCCTTGGGGAGTGGGACTTTCAGGGACTCAGTCTGAAAATGGAACCCCCGGTGTTCATTCCTCGGCCAGAGACGGAAGTGAGTATATCACTGAGACAAGTCAGGATGAAGATAAGAAAATGGGGAAGGTACCTGCCTTGCCCCAGACTTCCTCCAGGGGGTGCTGGGGCCCCATGGCTGCCATTCACAGGGACAGTGCCCTTCCACACAGGTCTTCTTGCTGTCCAGGTTGGCTGTGCCAGGATAGAAGACTCCTCTTGCCTTCTTCCTTTGACTCTCCACCCAGCTCCAAGGACTGGAAGTGACATAGAATGCTCCAAGTGTTGTCCCAGTGCTTCACCTGTTGTGGCCATTCCTTAGGAGCTGTCCTGTAGGCCCATGGCTGACTCAACCCATAGGAAATAAATGGCCTCCAGCAACTTATAGAACAGGGAGAAGTAGAGAGTGCTCTAGCTGGGCACCTGGGGGCCCTCCATAAGAGCCGTGTGATTAGAGGCGGTTGCTGCCGGCTCAGATGATGGGAGTGTTGGCCTGTCAGGCTAGGGTATCTGTGACTGGGTGACCTGCTTAGGTCTGTTGTCTGGTCAGGTGATTGTCTGTGTCAGTTCCTCAGATGGCCAGAACTGGGGATTGTGTGGCCCATGCATGCTGTCCCTTGGGACACACCCTCATCTGGGAGAGATGTTTCTCTGTCCTTACACTGCTCCCTTATTTTGTTGGTGGCAGAGCTGGGAGCTAGAAGTGGACTCTGGCGTGAAGCGGGGCTGCAGAGGGGATGCTGAGCAAAATCAGAGGGCGCTAGACTCTGGAAAAGATTGTTTCTGGAAAGATTTCTTGGCAAATAAACATTTTGGGGGAAAGTTCATCCCCTTCCACTTTTACTAGCCCGGGCCTCTGAGCTGTCTGTCCTTCACCCTTTCAATCTCTGTCCCTTGGCCAAGAATATTCTGATCATTTTGGAGAGATGGCTCAGTGGTTAGGAGCACTTGCTGCTCTTCCGGAGGACCCAGGTTCAATTCTTAGAACCTACACAGTAATTTATAACCATCTGTAACTACAGTCCCATGGGATCTGACATCCTCTTCTGGCCCCTGTGGGCACTGCATGCACACTGGACATGGGCATACATACCAGCAAAATACTATGCACATTAAAAAAAAATTCGCTGATTACCTGGGGTACCCCCTTATCAGGTGGTTGAAAGACTGAACTTCACTTTATTCCCCCAAATTGGAGCAGAACTGCAAGGAAGTCTGAGGCCTTGAGAAGTCAAAGAGCTATCAAGGAAGGGCTGCACCTGAACTTCCTGACTCTCTCCTGTTTAGTACTGACATAACCTGGGATGGGGTACAGACACTCAGAAGCAGGATGTGACCTGTCATCTTCAGGCTTTTGGAAGATTGCCCTGCAGCTTTCTCCAAATACCTGACGTCTGGCTAGGAGATCACTAGCCATGCATGGAAACTGTCAAGGCTCAGACATAGAAGGTCTGAGCTATCATGCTATCATGGTGGTAACTGGTGTGTGTGTTTGGATTCCGGGTGTTGGGTGTGAGCTTTTGACTCCCGTGTGCCCCACCCATTCTCGGGGTGTCTGGGCCAGGAAGGCAGCTTTGCTGCTTGAGGAGGGGAAGAGTGAGGATGCTGTGGTTGGGGGGCCAGGTCTGCCTCACTGTACAGACATTTCTGAGAACTCACCAGGTTCGCCCCAATGTGAAGCCACATCAGGCAGGGGTGCTTTACTAAGAAATCAAGAGGACGTGGCCTGTGGCAGAGAGGAGAGAGATTGGGTGCAGGGGAGGGGTCACGAAGTCTGTATTCTCTATCCATCAAAGGGCGGCTTTTGCTGGTGGGTGTGAAAGTCTGAAATGCAAAGTTGCAAGTGGCTTGTGGCCTGATGAGTTTTATTTTCCCTGGGAGGGGGAGTGAGAGGGTGGCTGAGTCTCCTGTATGGCAGTCTGTACAGTGGGAAACTGAAGTCTGGGGTGTGAGCCATTCCATCCCCATCTGTGTGGTATGACTGTAGAGGCTGTGGGAGCCTAGTGCCGTCACTGTTTTAGGGAGGCAGTACACCTGACTAGTGTCAACTCACCAGGGATATGATCCTACTAGAGGGTGTTCATGAGAAGCCTTCTGAGCCCTCAGAGTTGCCTCTATAAGGCGTCTGCAGTCTCATTGGGAGCAATGACTGGGCAAAACCGCCCACTGCTCTTTCCCTGCCTCTGTCTCCTATTTCTCTTATCTGTCACCCCATGTTTTGAATTCTTCCTGGATTCAGTTGGAACAGATGGTCTGGGTCTGTGACCAGCTTGGCTCATATCCCTTCTCAAAGAACCAACAGCTTAGGTAGAGGGAAGGTCTTTACTGCCTAGGAAAGAATTTTCTGGACTTCCTGAATGCAATCTCAACATAGATAGTCCCCAGATGGTCTTCTGATCAAGATGAGCTTTCATGGTCTGTGGTAGAAGGAGAGGTAAGAGGCCACTGGTGTCAGTGAGGGCCTAGTCTCTCAGCCCTGCCCCAGGTGGCCATTTGCATGGATGGTGTGTGTGTCTGAGGTCAGGGATGCCTCTGTGAGGTGGCTAGCCAGTGTGGGCTGGCTGAGGGGTCATCCTCCAGCCAGAGTGGGCTGTTTGTGGCCAGGAAACCCAGAGAAACTCACACCCCTAACATAGGCTGTCATTTTGCCGGCCTTTCAACCTGTTGCCTTTACCACAGCCTCTCAGTCACAGTCCTAGATTGTGAGCTTTTCGCCGGCCATAAGCCCAGTTTGGTGCACACACCCAGTGCTCTCCACTCATCCCTGGCACAGGACTGAATCAAGCTTCCTCATCTATAGACAGTAGTGCAGAATGGGCTTGGTTCAGGGAGGGCTGGTCCAGCTCTCCTCTCTGTCTGCTTTGGACTTGTTACCTTTGGTGTGAATGAGCATTGCCATTGAGATTGGGGCCCTAGGAAGGGCAAAATGCTTTTGAGACTCAGCAGGACAAACTTAAAAGGAAAGGGGGTTTGGGTGATCTGATGTTTTTGCTGGGCCTGGTCTTCTCATAGTTTAATATAAGAGGCAACCCCTGTCTTAGATCTTCAAGTCAGGCTGAATATCTTTGGGTTGTAGAGATGCAACCAGTCTGCAGAATGAAGATGTTCTAAAGAGGTAACTGTGTCCCTCAATCTATCAGACTGTTGGAAACAACGGACCCCAAAGAAGTAGGGATTTCCTGAGAAATCTCATGCACTAGTCAGGAGGGAGCTTGTCTCCCACAAAGGGATCTCACAGTGCTAACAACCTGTCAGACTGCAGCCTAGGCAGTGATGAGTTGGTGGTGGGCAGGACCACACCTTGGCCGGACTGCTTAGACCTGTGCATCCTTGGCCTGCTGGTTATGTTTTGACCTCACTTTAGGAATCTGAGATAGACTTGAAGGGTTTGCTGGATTTCTTTGTCCCTCCTCTCATTGTAGCCACACTGAAAAAGTCTCTTTTTTCCCTTTCCTTTCCCTTCCTCCCTCCTCCTCTCCTCTCCTTTCCTCTTCCCTCCTTTCACCGCCTCTCCTATAACCTCTCTTCACCTCCCTTCTACTCTCCTCTCCTCTCATAACCTCTCCTCCCCTCCCTTCTCCTTCCCTCCCATAACCTCCCCTCCTTTCTGCCTTCTACTTTTAATTTGGCTCTTTTTATTGGCTTATTGAGGATGGGTGGCCAGTTCTGATTTGGGGCACAGTTTGTAACCTCCAAGTCTGATAACAGAGACACTTTACAGGGGCCGAGGAAGGCTTCCTTCAAAGGAAACTGCTTTCCTCCCAGTTTCCTGAGCCTTGAAGGGTCCCTCTGCCCATACCCAAGGGGTTTGTCTTTGAGAAGACAACCTGCTGTATGCTTGGATCCCCCACTCTCTGGGTAGAAACATTTCAGCTCTGGACAACAGCAACCTTCACCTTTCACTCCTACCTCACCGTGTGCTGATTACCATGTACAGCCCCAGTGGGCATCAGATGGTGGGCAAGACCCTAAACCCTCTTGCGTTCATGCTGATGATTTCTAAAAGTATACTTTGCTCCAGAAGTGGGTACCGTCCGGACAGGCTCTCACCACACCTGTGCCCCTTTACCATGTTCTGTGTGTGCCACAGCCACCTGCAGGTATGAGACGTGGACAGAGGTGTGTCCCTGCCCCATTAGGTAACTGCTTGTCCCTTTGGTCTAGGAATCTTCTGGGAATTCCCAAACACAACTCTGAGAAAGCTGAGGGCACACTAGCCACCCCTGATTTATTTATTTTCCCCACCATGGTACTAGGGATGGAACCCAGGACTTTACATATGTAGGCAAGTGCTCTTCCTGTGAGCTATATCCTCAACTCCAAGCCTTTGATTCAAGACCAGGCACAGAGGGATTGGTCATCCAATATGGTTCTCAGCATTGCTGTGAGTATAAAAATGGAAAATGTCCGGACAGGCATAACTGGGGTTGATTAAGTGCACGTAGGCAGATAAGGGGTCAGGCATATGACTCTGACTAATTTTTACTGTGTTCTTGAGGGCAGTGTTCAGTTTTGCAGATGAGTAAACTAAGGCATGCAGGGACAAAGTGATCCACTCAGGGTCCTTGCTGATGTCAGGATCATTTTGGCTTTGGTAGTCCCCCACCTGTCTTCACTTGGAACCAACTGCTTGGACCTCTTTTTAAGACTCCCAGGAGCAAGATGGCACCCAGTCTAATCCAGGCCCTCTGCTTTCCAGGAACTGGTTGAATGGGTTTTAGAGGAAGTGGCCCAGAGACCCACTACAGTGGGAGCCCAGGGTGGTCCCCTCATTCTGGAGGTGGGCTGTGGATCAGGAGCCATTGCCCTCAGCCTGCTGAATCAACTCCCTGAGGTAAGCCCCCTCAGCTTTCCTCTGCCCTGCCTTTATTAGACATTGAGATAGATTGAGATAGTCACTCACTGTCCCTTATATTGACCCTTCACCCACATCCTTCTTCTAGAAGCATTGAGGGAAAGTGGCCAGAAAAGGAAGGTGTGCTCAGCCCAGCATGGCGATAACCTCTGCCTTCCACCCCTGTCTGTCCGGCTGGAGCCTAACTATAGGAAAATTTTGTTCCATGTTTCTTTCTTTTGAGGAGTTTAGTGGGGAGTTCTCAGACAGGCATCTTCCAGAACTCCTCCTCTCTTCCTTTGTTCTTGGGGCAGAGTCAAGTCATTGCTGTGGATAAGGGAGAAGCTGCTGTTCGTCTGACCCATCAGAATGCTCAGAGGTATATGGACTGAGAAGCCCAGAGGGCCAGCACTGGGGAGTTGGACTTGGGGACCTGGACTTGACCTTTATTCTAGTATCAAACCCATTCCTGCCTTCTGTTCTTGAGGGAGAGATGCAATGAGGGTTGCCTGGCGTTGGTCCCATGGGTTTATGGATGGATGGACTGTGAGCAGCGGCTATATTGCTGGTCCGAGAAGGTCTCATTTCCCCTCCTGGTCCTTGCAGCCAAGGGTAAAGGCTCACATCCTATGCTCACCACCACCTCCCCATCTCTCCAGGCTTCAGTTGCAGGACAGGATTCGGATCGTTCCCCTTGATATAACTTCAGGTACATCCCCCTGCCCATCTTTTTGGGGTGGGGATCCTGGATAGAGGAATTTCTGGTGGGTGAGGCGCTGTTGAAATGGGGTAAGGGTTTCCCAGTAAGCATATCTGTGGACCAGTGGACCATCTCAGATTAGCCCTTACTGAGGATAGACAAGATACTGTTGTCGTCTCCTTGGCTGACCTGACCCATGAAGGTCTTCTCGGGTGCGGGCGGGGTTGAGACAGGGTTTCTCTATGTAGCCCTGGCTGGCTGTTGGCCTCTGCTCCCTGAGTGGTGTGAATAAAGGTGTGAGCCCCCACTGCCCAGTAACAAGGCCTTTTCTTTATCTTCTGGATCCCTATAACTGATAAGTTTAACTAGGGTGTGTTTACTGGCAAGTGATAAAGAGATATTCAAAGGAAAGTCGTTCAGAGCCAGGAACCTGTTATCTTAGCAGTGCCCTTCT